CCACAACTATCTTTTAAAAGCACAAGTCTATCAAATCCCTGCTTAAAATTCTTCAATAAAGTTCCAGTGTATACGGGATTAAATAAACATCCCCACGCCTTGCACCCGGGTCCTTCATGGCCTGCTCTTGATCTCCCATCACTCTCCTCCATTTTAGTGCCTTAGGCTCCTGACTTTCCATTCTTCTAAACTTGTCCTGTTATTTAAAAGCCCGGAGATTTTTGCAGGACAGCCACTCCTTATTAAAAAATCTGACCACAGCTTGCCTTCTCCCTGAAAGAAGTTGTCTCTCTTCCTCCCGAGATTTTTTATTTTTAGAGGGAGTCTCGCTTGTCACTCAGGCTGAAGTGCAGTGGTGTGATCTTGGCTCACTGCAACCTCCATCTCCCAGGTTCAAGTGATTCTCCTGCATCAGCCTCCTGAGTAACTGGGATTATAGGCATGCACCACCATGCCTGGCTAATTTTTGTATTTCTTTTTTTTTTTCTTTCTATTTTCTTTGAGATGTAATTTTGCTCTTGTTGCCCAGGCTGGAGTGCAATGGCGCGATCTCAGCTCACTGCAACCTCTGCCTCCTGAGTTCAAGCGATTTTTCCTGCCTCAGCCTACCAAGTAGCTGGGATTACAGGCATGTGCTGCCACATCCACTATTTTTTTGTATTTTTAGTAGAGACAGGCTTTTCCATGATGGTCAGGCTGGTCTTGAACCCCCACCTTCAGGTGATCCGCCCACCTCATCCTCATAAAGTGCTGGGATTACAGGCATGAGCCACTGCGCCTGGCTAATTTTTGTTTCTAGTGGAGATGGGGATTCGCCATGTTGGCCAGGCTGGTCTCGAACTCCTGACCTTAGGCGATCCACTTGCCTCAGCCTCTCAAAGTGCTAGGACCACAGGCATAAGCCACTGTGCCAGGCCCCTTCCTGAGATTTATTTGTTCTCCCAGACCTTCCGTTAGCAGCTGTCTGTCTCAACAGTAAACAGCTCTTCTTCTCTCTGGCCAGCTATAGCTTGAGGGAAAGGCTGTCACTTATCTTGCTTACAGGTACAGAACAATTCTACAAATGATCAGGGCTCATTAAACACTTGCTGAATAGGTGAGTCAGTGAGTAAATAGTTGAGCATGGGAAGAGGCACAGTCATTGCTGGAAAGCAGAAAACCAAAGGAACTCTTTCAAGAGACTGAAATGTAAGTATCCTTTTCTGAAATGCACCTGGACAATCTTTAGCGTCAGTGAGTAAAAGTTATGTGATTACATGGAGCAGTGAGCACATAACCCATGCTGTCTCAGTTACTTGAACCAAACTACTAATAAAGTCAGAGGCACAGGTTAAATGCAAAATGGCACAGTAACCATCTGTCCAAAAAAAAAACAGTTACCATACCAAGCATGCGTTAATTACAACCAGAAGGGAAAGTATTTTTTTCCTCCTAGTATGAAAATTATTTGAGCAAACATTTAAAAAATAAAAGCCTCATTGCTGGGTGACAGGCTATCTGCTTGAATCAGCTCAGTTACTAGGTTGACAAAGCAAAAGCAAAACAAACAAAACAAAACACAAAAACAAATAACCTCAGCACATTCTATCATCTCCACCCCAAAAAATTTAAAAGCATGTTACTGCAATGATGGGTTGAGCGGTATCATCTTAAAACACAAACGACAGCCATTTCTGAGGAGTCAAGAGAACCTTAGGATCTTGAAAACATCACTTAAGGGGAGAAGGGAGAATCTGTGTTTGGTAAAGGAACCATGAAGGTGCCAGATGGGTGACCTCATGGAGCAGCTGATTATAGAGGGCTGAATTATAGATGTCCCCCAAATTGGTACCATGTAGCCTTTTAGAGACAAAATGGGAAATTCTGAGGGAAAAAAACCAGACAGATATTAATTTAAGAAGTCTGGATTCCAGCCACTGGATACATTTCTAACGTAGGGTTCCTGTGAGATTACGCCCCCTAGAAGTAGAAATTAGATACAGCAGAAGATACCTCGAACAAAGAGAGAATGGTCGGGGAAACTGGCATCTTTACAAATAGCTTGAAGACTGGAAAACCTCTGAAGCCAAGCACCTGGGCAAAGGGAGTCCATATGGCCAACTCTTCCTAGACAGTGTCAGGAGGATTGAACCTGGGTTCCACCAGGGCTGTGTCACTAGTGCCAAGGACAGTGCCTGGCACATAGTAGGTGCTCAAGGAACATCTATCAACAAATGCCAAGCGAACATATATTGTAGGGTGTTTTTTACTATATGAGGTGTCCTCATTGACTGGGAAAGCAAGATTGGGCAAGATATTATAAACCAAAAGTAAAATTCTAAGGACCCTCAACCATCTGAATGGACTTCCTCCTCAGCCAAGACTCTGTGTTTTTTTTTTTTTTTTTGAGACAGAGTCTTGCTCTGTTGTCCAGGCTGGAGTGCAGTGGCACTATCTCAGCTCACTGCAACCTCCACTCCTCATGTTCAAGCAATTCTCTCAGCCTCCTAATTGGGATTACAGGCACATGCCACCACGCCTGACTAGTATTTTGTATTTTTAGTAGAGATGGGTTTCGCTATTTGGTCAGGCAGGTCTTGAACTCCTGACCTCAAGTGTTGTACCACCTCAGCCTCCCAATAGTGCTGGGATTATAGCTCTGAGCCACTGCACCTGGCCAGGGGTCTTTTAAATTTTTACCCAAGAGACTGTTTCAGGCCATGATGAGAAGTGGGGGTCTGACATGCCTTACTATACCGCTCCAGCATTATCACCAACACAGACCTTACGTCTGATAAGAAATATTGTACAGCCTATTCTCTCTGAATCCTGCTACCTGAAGGCTTCCTCTGCAAATAAGAACTTGGGTCTCCACAATCCTTTATGTTAACCCAGACATTCCTTTCTTTGATCTCAGGTCTTTAGATAAACTCAACCAATTGTCAACTAGAAAAATTATAAATCTACCTATAAGCTGGAACCTCCCACCCCTACCTCCACCCCAGCCCTATTCCCACCACTTATTCAAGTTGTCCTGCCTTTCTGGACCAAACCAGTGGTTTTTTTTTTTTTTTTTTCCGAGGTAGAGTTTTGCTCTTTTGCCCAGGCGGGAGTACAATGGCAGGATCTGTGTTCACTGCAGCTTCTACCTCCCAGGTTCAAGCAGTTCTCCTGCCTTGGCCTCCCCAGTAGCTGGGATTACAAGCACCTGCCACCACACCCGGCTTTTTTTTTTTTTTTTTTTTAATGTATTTTTAGTACAGACAGGGTTTCGCCATGTTGGCCAGACTGGTTCAAACTCCTGACCTCAGGTGATACACCCGCCTTGGCCTTCCAAATTGCTGGGATACAGTCATGAACCACTGCTCCTGGCCAGACGTAATTTTTAAATGTATTTGATTGAAATCTCATGTCTCCCTCTCGAGTGTATAAAACCAAGCTGCACCCGGACCACTTTGGAGGCATGTTGTCAGGACCTCCTGAGGGCTGTGTCACAGGCCGTGGTCACTCATATTTGGCTCAGAATAAATCTCTTCATATATGTCAGAGTCTGACTCTTTTCATTGACAATATTTATTTTACACATAGGAAAGTATTACAATTCCAATTAGAAGTTCCAAACTTGTCCAAAGCCATATGAGATACAGGTATCTTCTACCTTAGCTGATATGCTGGCACCAAAACTTAATCATATTGCACTGTGCATGGTGTTCCACACTTTTAAAGCCCTTTTAGCTGCAGTGATGATAATGATCCAGTTAGATATTTTAGACATTGATGGGCCACTCCCTCATTTTTCAGAATAAATGAAACTAATTGATAGGCTAATCTGGTATAATAGCCCTTTCTGGATCAGAACCCAGGTTTTGGGGATCCCAGGGCTGAGGGTTTTCAATGATCACACTCTCCCTCCCCTGAGCTAGAGAAAACCTACAGCTTCTTGCACCTCCTGTCTTCCACTCCTCAGCAAAAAACGAAGGAGAAGCTGCAGGAAGTACAGAAATTTGAGCTCCTAAGCCTGGATCTGAACGAGTCAGTTACACCAGGGGACCATCTACAAAATACACATCAGAAAAGTCTGACCTGCTTTCTGGACTCTTGGACACATTTAAGGGCAGAGCTGGTGGGGCTGTGGAGCTGCTGGTAAGCAGCTTGTGTTTTATTTTCCCCAGAAAATTCCCCAGGTGATCTGATTTATCCCTGCTACGCAAAACCCCTTTGCCACCAAAATCTCCAACTTAGCTGTCAGAGGTTATCTGATACTCTTGCTCCAGCAGCTCTGGGATAATGGCTCTGTATTGGAGTTGTACAGAGAAATTCTCTTCTTACCTTGTGGCTTGGGCTTCCCTGCTGCTTTTGAGAGGCTCCTTGCTAGCCTGGCGGTGCGCTTTTCTCCTCTGACTCACCAACTCCCCTCTTGGCTTCCTCCTCCTACTTAGTTTTGCATAACAGTCCCTCCTGAGAGCACATTTCACTGTCCTCTCCCTTCTGCCAGAATAAAAACGAAAAAGGACCCACCTTGCAAGATGTGCTTGAGAAAGCACTTGCTCCCAGGAAGTTGTAACAATAACAGCTTTACCATCCGTGAGACCCAAGGTGTGGGGAGACTGCTTGAGGTGGGCTGGGAGAAGCGCAGAAGGAAGCATTTTCTCCCGGGCTGGAGGCATCCTGGAATGTTGACTCCTGAAAGGCAACTGTGAAGGTCAACACCCTTGGGGTAGGGTGGGAAGGGGGAAAAAGAGAGAAAGAGACACAGGGAGAACTAGTAGATGAGGCTGACAGGGAAATTTTATGACACAACCAGAAAGGCCACGAAATCTCAAACCCAATTCCTAGACCTTATCTTATCTCCGAGGAGAAAACGTGAAAGTTATTTCTTGCATTGCACCTGCCTGCTCACTCCACCCTGGGTCTAGGGAGGTAACGGTTCTGAGCCTCTGTGTCATATTCAATATCTTCACCCTTGCTATAAGAGGTAATAAATATTTTCTGGGAGGACATAGATGTACTGGCTTGGTGGTACAGGAGAAAAAAAAAATCCCCCTTAGGAAAAAAAGAAACAAGTTATCATTAAAGATTGTAACTTCTCCCTTGCTGTGTGCCCTTGGTCAAATCAGGTACCGACTCTGTGCTACTTTACACGGTTGTCATGAGTCTGAAACAATGGATGCCCATGAATAAACGTAAACTGGTGGAGAATGGGAGCCTCAGATTTTCAAGTTTGAAATCTCACTGGGCAAGTCATGCCGCCTCTTTGAGCCTGAGAATATCATCAATGTTAAATAAGGGTAACAATATATATCTTACAGTATTGTTGCTAATGTTAGGATTAATACATATGAAGCTCCTAACACAGTATGAGTTAAGAAGTGGTGGTTTACTTCCCCTCCCCTGCAACTCAGCTGCCAGTTCCTTTCCCAGACCTTGGAAGCTGTGAGAGCTCTGAGATGATCTTTGTTGATTTCCATCAGCTAAGTCCACTAAGCACAAATGACAAGAACCTGTGGTGGTTGCCTTGTATTGATTTCAATTGTCTGGCTCTTCCTTCCTTCCTGTTTCTCTCTGGCAGAGAGAAGAGAAATTTCTCTTCCTCCAGTGAAGGACTTTGGGCAGAGGTGTAACTGGAGGCGCTGGAACTGGGCAGTCGGTAGTTTTGCTTTTCTGGACAAAGAGGTGATTCAGGTGCTGGCATGACCGAGTGAGATGGCACAAGGCTTAATCATGCTACTCAGAATGGTGTGTAATAAATGAACTGTTTATTTCTGCAATTTTTCCATTTAATATTTTCAAATCATGGTTGATGATGTGTAGCTAAACCTGTGGGAAGCAAAACCGTGGATAAAGGGGGGACTCCTGCAGTTTTACTCCAGCGCTTTCTAACATTCATTTCATGTTTTTTCAAAGCCTTCCTAAATATGGTGAGGTCACTCAAATACACGATAACCCCCAAGTAATTTCGATCACCTGCCATCTTTCCCTTGCTGGAATTCATGCTGGCAGAATGCCAAGCAGCTGAAGAAAGGCATTCTCTAGTCATTAGTATGTAGTGATGACCAGCATGTTCAGAAACTGGACTTCCAAGGGTCTACCACATTCCACAGCACTGGGAAGAAATTTGAATGTTGGTGTCTGATATCCAGGCCTTCTTGTGGAAGTCCTGCAGTCCATGTCTCTAAGGCAGCACTGCCTAATAGCAGTCTCTGTGATGATGGAAATGTTCCATATCTGCTCTGTCTAGCCACTATCCATGCAGCCACTGAACACCTGAGATGTGCCTAGTGCTACCATATTGTATTGTGTAGTCAAGTGAGAGATCTAATTTTCTTCTTGAGTCTCACAAAATCTGATGATAGATATGGACCTCTGTAGAAAAATGTACAGTTGCTCATACATAAACACAAAATCATGTGCGATGTCAAGGAATCCCAGGTTTAAAATCCCTACAAAGGGCTGTGTGCACTTCAAGTGGTTTAAAGACATTTGTCTCCTGGGGATATTCAGCAGAGTGGCTGGTCTCAGCTTTGCCCTTGGAATTTTACCGTCTTTACTGTCTGGGGACCCCCTGAGTGGTGACGAGACCTGGGGTCAGCTACTGATTTACACTCTGATTTTCTCAGGGGTCAAAAGGATCTTTCTGCTGGTTATACTATCTGCTCGTGCTACCTTACTCTGACCATCACTCCTGTGTACTGAGATTGCAGCTTCTTCACTTCCACACTTACTTACACATCTTTTCCATCCCTAGTGACACTAAAAGGACAGTGAGGCTTCCTTGAGTTTCTTTTTATGTGGGGGCTCTAGGATTCCTCATTTTGCTCTGAGCATCAGCCTGCAATGCAGATGTCTAGAGCTGAAACTGTTGAGGAACATGTCACTCCCTACATTGGTCACCAACCCTGTTTTGCTTACCAAAGCCAGTGTCTGGCCTGAGTAGGTCACTGGCTAAGTGACTGAGTTTAGATAATACATTCTGGAGAGATAGAACTTTGTAGTTTGGCTAAGTTTCTGAAGGCTGTAGAGACTGGATCTTAGCATCATAGGGAGCCAGTGCCTTCGGAATCAAGCCAGGAAGGAAACCTTGGCTGCTGTAAATCCTATTATCAAATGGGTAATTGCTTTCAGTAGAACCTTATTCCTTGCGCTGGACCCTGGTAGTGAACATCTGTGTAGGGAATCCCCCAGCAATAGGATGTCCCTTAGCTATGTTAGAAGTATTTGTTTCAACAGTGGGAGAATAAGCTGGACTAGAATAGATTAAGATGAGGGAAAAAAATGAACACAGTTTGAAGTTTTTCCTGGTTCTTGCTTTCTTCTTGCTCCTTTGAAGGGCAGAGAGGATGGGAAAGTAGGAAATAATGAGCCAGGAACTCCTAGTAAAGCTCAGGCATCTCTTGTATGTCTTTGATGGTTCAGGAACATAACATTGCTGGATAATTGTGGCTTTATCTGGTATCAGGCTCCTGAAATTCTACCTCTGGTCTTCCAAAAACTGTCAGAGACTGCTCCAGGTGAACTGTGGTGATTTAGTTAAGGAGTTTCTAGATGAAATCTGGGGAGATGATCAGGGTGTCTTGTGCTGGACCCTAACCTCATGTATCACATCGATCACCGGTGTCTGTGTATTTTACCTTTAAATAGCTGTCAAATTTGCCCTCCTTCTTTTTATGTCAGCAGCCACTGTCTTCCATCTGCCTTTCAATTTTTTCCTTGAATTTCTGCCAACAACCTCTCACTTTTTCCCATATTCCCAATCTTACCCCTCCAGCCTTCCCAGTCTACCCTGCAGCTACAGTGACCTTTCCTAGGATGGATCTGATCCCCAGATGGAGATACACACACACACACACACACACACACACACATATATATATACACACACACACATCCCAACAATCAAAGCGAGTGGCATAGCTGAGACACCAGACGGAGTTATACGTCACAGGGCATGGATACAAAGGTGGGAGGATGGAGGTCATCATTGCAATTCGCTGTGGGATCTGAACACACAGACCAGGGGCACTTATCTCAGTCTAGGGACATAAGGAATGCTTTCCCAGAGAAGGTGATGCTGACTTGAGTTGAATCTTGACAGAGAAGATGCAAGTTAGCCAGGCCATAAAGGAGAGAGGGTGCTTTAAGCAGAGCAACCCACATGAACCAAGACCTTTGGAGACTGTAAGTGCTTCCACATCTTTACTTCATGTGATGCATGTGCCCTGCAGCTATTAACCTTTCCATAGTTTCCTGTCTAGAATGTAGACGTGAGCCCTAGGTGTGCACAGGTGTCTCCTGGCTGTGAGGCAATAAGCGTAAAGTTGATAGTCTGTAGAAATAAGTCACCCAACGGTGATCTTTTTTTTGGGCGGGGTAGGGGAGATGGAGTCTCACTTTTGTTGCCCAGGCTGGTGTGCAGTGGTATGATCTCAGTTCACTGCAAACTCTGCCTCCGGGTTCAAGTGAGTCTCCTGCCTCAGCCTCCCAAGTAGCTGGGATTGCAGGCACCCACCACCACACTGGCCTCTTGAAGTTCTAACTCAAATGCAGCCTTCTCTTAAAACATTTCCTTATATCCTCAATTACATGGGCCCGCAAAGCTTTACCTGATTTGGCCACGTCCAGCCCATCCCTCACTGGCCCCTTCACCTCCTGCTGTTCCTCATTTCCCCAGGCTCTGCAACCCTGGCCTCTTCCTCCCTGTGGTTCCTGGTACACTGGAGACAATCGATTAATATTTGCTGAATGAGTGAATGAATGTGACCTCTTCCTGGTTTGTATCATTCTAGACAAATCTGTTCTATAAGTAGGTATTTGTTCTATGTCCCCTACTGTTAAGCAACTAGGGCCACACCCTGTGATATGACCCACACAGTGCCTGGCACAATGCTTGCTATGTAGTAATAACAAATATTAACAATACTAGTAGGAAGAGTTGTTATTTGAGTGATTACTGGGGACCGAGTACTGTATTAAACATTTATAGGCATTACCTCACTGATACATTTAATGACCATGAAGATACCCAGATTATAGGAACACATGCAGCCAGAAAGGTGGCCTTCTATTCTTAGTACTGCTTTACAGCAGAGGAAGCTGAGGCTTAGAGAAGTTAAGTAGCTCAACCAAGGTCACATCGCTAAGATGCGGCATTACAGGAGAATGCAATCCTAAATTATTATCGGATCCATAGTTTTCGAAGTGTGGTCCTCAAGACCCTTTCAGGGAGGTCTGTAGGTACAAAATCATTTTTATAATCATACTAGGACATTGTTTGCCTTCTTCATTCTCATGTGTATGTATGGTGGCTTTCCTAAGGCTATGTGTCATGCTATATCAAATCACGTTGAATGCAGATGCAGAAAAGAGGATCTAGCTGTCTTCTATTAAGGCAGACATTAAAGAGATTTTCTTTTCTTTTTGAGAGGGAGTCTTGCCCTGTCACCAGACTGGAGTGCAGTGGCGTGATCTTGGTTCTCTGCAACCTCCACTTCCCGGGTTCAGGCGATTCTCCTGCCTCAGCCTCCTAAGTAGCTGGGACTACAGGCATGCGCCACCATGCCCGGCTAATTTTTGTGTTTTTAGTAGAGCCAGGGTTTCACCAGGTTGACCCGGATGGTCTTGATCTCTTGACCTTGTGATCCGCCCGCCCCAGCCTCCCAAAGTCCTGGGATTACAGCTGTGAGACACTATTCCCGGCCAAGAGATTTTTAAAAATGTAAAATAATGCTAAACGTTCCATTTAATTTAAAAAAACAAAACATAGTTATTTTTCATAAAGACATTATTTATGTCAACATGTAATGTGTTCATAATTATTTTCACATAAATGTATATTTTTAAATTATCAGTTTTGATTTCTAATATGATGAATATCTATAGAGAGAAGCCCACATAAACAAAAACACTATGGGATTCTCAGTATCTTTCCAAGCATTATGGGGCCCTGGGAACAAAATGCTTGAGAATAGAGGTATTAGATAATATTTGTTTCCTCGCAGCTCTGAAATATAAAAGTTCTTAACTCCTGAGGCAGTTTAGATCATTTGTAACTGCTCTAAATTCTCAGTCTGCAGGTCAGCTTGGAAAAGAGGGGCAGCCCTGGGGTCTGTCTCCATGTCATGGCCTGACTGGTCTTGGTTACCTGGATTTATTCTGGCCTTAACTGCTCTGTGAACTTCCGGAAATTCCCATTCCTGTCTTGGGCTCACTCATAGCTCCCAGGTAGCCTCATTTCATTCCTTTATTCCCCATTCTCAATTTGGTTAAGGGGCAAAGAGGAGGTCTAGTCCCAGCTACTTGGGAGGCTGAGGCAAGAGGATCACATGAGCCCAGAAGTTTCACTCTTGTTGCCCAGGCTGGAGTGCAATGGCATGATCTTGGCTCACCACAACCTTCACCTCCCAGGTTCAAATGATTCTTCTGCCTCAGCCTCCAGAGTAGCTGGGATTGCAGGCATGTGCCACCATGCCTGGCTAATTTTGAATTTTTAGTAGAGACAGGGTTCCTCCATGTTGGTCCCCCCATTCTCTTTCATGCTTATGTGACTTGTCAGTTTTTACCTTGATCCTGGAGTACACAGTTCTAACTTTCTATACTGTCTTACCAAACAAAGGTTTGTTGTTGTTGTTCCCAATATCCAAATACTTTCTGGACTCCAGTGGAGCCCTGAATGGTTTATTTCCTGTTGCCATGGCCTGTACGGAATTACAACGTATCTTATGTTCTAAATGATTTCTCATTGATTGCCTCTGGGGAAAGGAACTGGGTGGCAGGAGAAAAGGAGTAGGGGAAAAAAAATCTTACCTCTTTTGTAATAGCTTTTGTCTTAAAGGAATTAAATTAAAAATTTGCTTTAAGCGAAGCAAAAACAACAAAAAACAAACCATACACAAGTGTCTCCTGAAACGTGATTATATCTAGAATGTCCTTGTTTGGTAGTGGCACTCCTTTCAGGAGAGGATCATTTTACAGGTGGGTTCGGAAGCAGAACGCATGTCAAAGGTCACGGGACTGTGCAGAAGGAGGTGCAGTTTAGGATGGAGACTACCTTTGGGAACTTCAGGTTTTGTTTTTATTCCCCCCTTCAGATATCTGAATCATAGTTTGGGGGAATAAACTAAGAATATTAATTGGCCTCTCTTACTTTGTGAACATTATTTTAAAAACTCTTGGCTGGGTGAAGTAGCTCACACCTGTAATCCTAGTACTTTGGGAGGCCGAGGTGGGCGGATTGCCAGAGCTCAGAAGTTCAGGACCATCCTGGGCAACATGGTGAAACCCGTTTCTACTAAAATAGAAAAAATTAGCCAAGTGTGGTGATGTGCACCTGTAGTCCCAGCTACTTGGGAGGCTGAGGCAGGAGAGTTGCTTGAACCTGGGAGGCGGAGGTTGCAGTGAACCGAGATCATACCACTGCACTGCAGCCTGGATGACAGAGTGAGACTCGATCTCAAAAAAAAAATCTTATGTACTGTAAACTTAGACATACGATTACTTCTTATCCTTTTGGCTAAGATCAAGTGTAAACATAGACATAAACAATACTATATATTATATATAGTATATATCCTGAGTCTACTTTTTATTTATTTGCTGGTGTTTAATTGGTGATTTCTTCAGGTTTTGCTTTCATTGTTTTCTCCGTATTTTCTTGTGCTGTTGTATTTGGAGAAAGGAGGTAAATGCAGGTTCTTTTCCCAACCAGGTCACCTATTTGCTGTGTGATCTTTGGCAAGTCTTGCCCTGGGTCTCTGTGACCCACACCTGTTGCACAAGGGAGAGACTTGCCTTTGAGGGACAGTTGAGAGGGAAACAGAAGATCCAGGCAGCAAAGTCTTTCGGAAAGTTAAAAGTGCTGTTCAAAACCTAAGTAGTACTTATAACTCTTCTTTATGCTGAGGACTAAACTCTGGGCTGGGTGTGGTGGCTCACACCTGTAATCCCAGCACTTTGGGAGGCTGAGGCGGGCAGATTACGAGGTCAGGAGTTCAAGACCAGCCTGGCCAACATAGTGAAACCCCGTCTCTACTAAAAATACAAAAATTAGCTGCACATGGTGGCACGCACCTGTAGTCTCAGCTACTCAGGAGGCTGAGGCAGGAGAATCACTTGAACCTGGGAGGCAGAGGTCGTGGTGAGCCAAGATTGCACCACTGCACTCCAGCCTGGGAAACAGAGCGAGACTCCATCTCAAAACAAAACAAAACAGACCTCTGGTGTTTTATTCTTGCCCAAATTCCTATCTAAGGGGTCTGGGAGTCATGCTATACAAACTATAAATTCTCATCAGATGGGTTTTACATAACCTTATATATTGTAACTTACTTTCCAGTCTGACTCTGGCATAACATGTGACAAAGAAGAAAGTCTAAATATTTTACCCCACAATTTGTTTCTTTGCCATATTTTGAAATGGTCCTGCAAAGCTGTCCTTTGTGGGGGAAAATGTGCATGTAAAGAATCTCTATTCACATAGTTCGATCTTTTTCTTCCAGGCCCTCCCTATCCTGAAGAGATTAAGTAAGAGTCTAGCACCTTTTAAAGGTCTGAATAGGAAACATTTGTCATCTATTGTCTCTTAGGGCAGCCACCATATGACTTCAAAAGAATCTTGGTCTCCACAGTGTTTTATCTTAACCTGAACATTTTCTTTCTATTGATCCCACGTCTTTATTTTATTTTTATTTATTTGTGCTTTTTGAGATGGAGTTTCACTGTGGTTGCCTAGGCTGGAGTACAAGGGCACGATCTCGGCTCACTGCAACCTCCACCTCCCGGGTTCAAGCGATTCTCCTGTTTCGAGTAGCTGAGATTACAGGCATGCGCTACCCTTATTTTTTGTATTTTTAGTAGAGACAGATTTCCCCATTTTGGTTAGACTGGTCTTGAACTCCTGACCTCAGATGATCCTCCTGCCTCCGCCTCCCAAAGTGCTGGGATTACAGGCATGAGCCACCGTGCCTGACTGATCCCAGGTCTTTAGAGAAACTCAACCAATTGTCAATCAGAAAATGTTTAAATTTACCTATAGCCTGAAAGCTTCCCATCCCACAACCCACTTCGAGTTGTTCTGCCTTTTCTGAACCAAGCCAGTGTCTTTCTTAAATGTTTTTGATTGATGTCTCATGCCTCCCTAAAATATATAAAACCAAGCTGCACCCCAGTCACCTTGGGCATGTGTTCTCAGGACCTCCTGAGGGCTGTGTCATGGGCCATGGTCACTCATACTTGGCTCAGAATAAATCTCTTCGAATATTTCACAGGGTTTTGACTCCTTTTGTTGACAGTGTTCGATTCTCAAAATACCATGAGAAGGAAACAGGAAACTAGATATTGATTCCAATTTCAGATTAGCACAGTAAGGCACTAAGGAATGTTCTCCAAGTTTCAAAGTAAGTCAGTAACGGTTGGGACCGCTGTTATCTGCCTTTTTTCCAGTCTTTTGAGGAATTATTCTTAAAGCAAGAGGTCAGCAGTTAGTAGTCTTCAAAGTGGGAAGAGCAGAGTGGACAGTTCTAAGAGAATCCATTTTTAGATCCTCGACTTCACGTGTAGTCTTCTGGGAGTGGGCCTGGTTGCTCACACAGGTTCTCCTTTCGGAAGCACGTCCTGTAATCTGTTCTTCATTTGCTTTGCAAAAGGAGAGTATACCCTTATCCTGCCCTGAATTGCCCCTGGGAGGCAAAACCTCTGGGCATCAAACAAAGAGACACTCTGAGTTATGGACTTCTGAAAAGGCTCTTTTAATAATCAAAGGGGAAGCAGGGAAAAACTGCCTACCATTTATCTTCCATTTTCTTGTACGTTTTCCTATTGGGAAGAATTGGCCTGCAAATGGATATTATGAATTAAATATTGTAGAGTAGGAATAGTGGAATAGAAGTTACTTTACCTCTTTCATCTCTAGTTTATTGTTGAAGAAAGCTTTGCTTCTAGCAAGGGTCTCTTGAAAGCAAGGCAGGCGTTAAATCCCAAAGATGTCCTTCCATCTGGATATTTAAGGTAAACCATTTTATTCAGTACATTTCCGAGACATGTCTTTTGTGAAAAGAAAAGGGCCTCCAAAGGGAGGGATAGAACTTGACAATGATTATTTTCAAGGAAACTGGAATTTGTTATGGGACTAACAAATTATTTAAGATATACTGGATAAAAATGCCAACAAAGCTTTATGCGATTTCCTTCAGATGCTCCGTGCACTGATCAATATGATAGCTGATAAGGTAGTTTTATCAAACATATCATGAATTATTAATTCCAATAGAAGTTGATCTTCACTTTATTTTCTGTTATAAATGTTTAATGATACAAGTGCTTGACCAATTTGTACAATATATACCCTTCTCTTTCACAGGAAAAGTTCAATCAAGATGTCTGATAAAATTAGTAAAGTTAATTCTGATGTTATACTTCATTGTATTTAATTATTCTGAAAGGCTGAGTATCTTCTTTTGATTTATGCACACACATATATCAAAGGAATATCAGGTCTTCCTTTGTATTTCTTGCTTTGTAAATAACTTACAATATTAGCTGCACAGAACATTGGAGTACTATAATTAAGTGATAGCAGGTGGCATAATTATTTTGTTTTCATAAATTATTCTAAATGTGAATAAATTAATCATATAAGAGCTACATTATTATTTTTGAGACTGAGTCTCCTTCTGTCCCCCAGGCTGGAGGGCAGTAGCGTGATGTTGGTCTCCCTGGTTCAAGTGATTCTCGTGCCTCAGCCTCCCAAGTAGCTGGGATCACAGGTGAGTGCTACACTCAGCTAATTTTTGTATTTTTAGTAAAGACAGGATTTTGCTATGTTGGCCAGGCTGGTCTTGAACTTGTGACCTCAAGTGATCCACCTGCCTCAGCCTCCCAAACTGCTGGGATTACAGGTGTGAGCCACTGCATCCATCAAGAGCTACATTATTTTAATCTTGCCTGTATTAACTGAAAAATCACAATACAAATTTGAAAGGAGACTTTATTTCTTGTAAAGGGCTACAGCCTGCAGGGTGGCCATCCTAACAGCCTTTGGTCAAAGGCCAGAAGCAGGCATTTTGAGGAAAGGAGGGGTAAGGCAGTCATTTGAGCTGAATGTGTTGGCCAGTTTCATATATTCAACATGTTACCAGAGAAGCTATGAATATTCATGAAGGTGACCCTAATGCATGCATGCTGAACAAACATGCCTGTTACTTATGACCCATGTTCAACTTGGGGTGGAGACTTAACATTTAAATTTATTACATTAGGTCCTGTACATCAAAAGGTGAAGCTGGGATATAAAGTGCACAGCCTCTGTAAACCAGCCAGAACCAGTCCACGGTCTGTGGTCTCTTAGCTGGAGAAAGTTACTACAATCAGTCTCTTGTCCAATCAAAGCTGTAGTTATGGCTTGTGGAACGGGTGAACTCAGTAAGTTGGTGCCTGGTGGTGGATGAGCTGCAGATTATTTTAACATTGCTTATCTTGAGACCAGTGCTTGTTTAGCTGCTAGAGAAAAAGAAAAATCTTGTGTCAGTTAGAACATAGTCTATTCTTTAAGTGTAGGGGTGCATGACTTAATCCTTGCCTGGCGCAGCTTTAGGTACTGTTTATAATTTGGTATCTTATTGCCCCAAAAAGTCTATGTTGTCAGTCTTATGATCTCTATCTTAATATTAATGCTGGTCAGTTTGAATAAATTGCAAAAGGGATGGGATATAATGAGGCATGTCTGACCTCTTGTTCCATCATTGCTGAAAACTCAGTTTTTAAGATTTCTCTGGGTTTGTTCAGCTGCTGGGGGTGATATAGCTTGGATGTTTTTCCACTCCAAAGCTCATGTCAAAATGCGATTCCTGGTGGTGAAGGTGGGGCCTGGGGGAGGTATTCAGGTCATAGGGGTGGATCGCTCATGAATGGCTTGGTGCTGTCCTTTCCATAGTGAGTGAATTCTCATGAGATCTGGTGGTTTAAGAGTGTGGCATCTCTCTCTCTCTTGCATCCACTCTCTCCATGTGACATACCTGCTCCTGCTTTGCCTTCCACCATGATTATAAGCTTCCCGAAGCCTCACCAGAAGTTGAGCAGATGCCAGCACCGTGCTTTCTGTACAGCCTGCAGAACTGTGAGCCAATTAAACCTCTTATTATTTACATATTACACAGTCTTAAGCATTCCTTTATAGCAACACAACAATGGCCTAAAATGAGGGGCTTCGAATTTTATTTTTAGTTCACATCCCTCCCACTTTTTTGTTTTTATTTTTTTGAGACAAGGTCTCACTCTGTTGCCCAGGTATGATCTCAGCTCACTGCAGCCTTGACCTTCTGGGCCCCGGTGATCCTCCCACCTCAGCCCCCCAAGTAGCTGGGACTACAGGTGTACACCACCTCACCTAAGTAAGCTCTCCTTTTGGTATGTATCTTACAAGATGTGTTCCATAATTTATTTCTCAGTGTTTTTTTTTCTTTTGAGACAGAGTATTGCTCTGTTGCCCAGGCTGGAGTGCAATGGTGCAATCTCAGCTCACTGCAACCTCTGCCTCCCGGGTTCAAGAGATTCTCCTGCCTCAGCCTCCTGAGTAGCTGGGTTTACAGGTACCTGCCACCATGCCTGGCTAATTTTTTTTTTTTTAATTTTTACTAGAGACAGGTTTCACCATGTTGGCCAGGCTGGTTTTGAACTGCTGACCTCAGGTGATCCACCCGCCTTGGCCTCCCAAAGTGCTGGGATTATAGGCATGAGCCACCATGCCTGGCCTTCTCAGTAATTTTAATAATATTCCTCAATAGTGTCTATTAACACATTGCTATAGTACATTTACCCTCCAAATCTCATGTTGAAATTTGATCTCCAGTGTTGCAGGTGGGGTCTAATAGGTGTTTGGCCATGAGGGCAGATCTCTCATGAATAGCTTGGTGCCATCCTTACAGTAATGAGTGAGTTCTCGACTAATGGGTTTCTGCAAGAGCTGATTGCTAAAAAGAGCCTGGCATCTTCCTTCCTTTTCTCTTCTTCCTTTCTCATCATGTGACCTCTGCACATGCCAGCTCCCCTTTGCTTTCTGCCATGACTGGAAGCAGCCTGAAGCCCCCACCAGATGCAGATGCTGGCATCCTGCTTCTTGTCCACCCTTCAGAACTATGAGCCAAATAAAACTCTTTTCTTTGTAAATTACCCAGCCTCAGGATTCCTTTAAAGCAGCACAAACATACTAAGACACACATTTATTTGAAATTTAAAAGTCAGAGAGAAATTAACTCTGATTATGTTATCAGTTTGAAAATAAGAATCGGAGTGTCCAGTTAGGTTATATGGTAGGTATTTTTCACAGGTGAAATAAGTTTCCAAGGCTTTTTAACAAGAATGTATTTAAAACATGGGATGAGATAAAAATATTTTTATTGAAAAAATATTGAATTGGTGATGATGGTTTGATATGAATACTTTGAATTTTCAATATTTTCTGAGTATATCACGTTAAACAAGGTGTATCTTAAGTGAAAGAATATTAGCAGGCTGATGTGTTGTAATCTTAGTGCTTTGGGAGGCCGAGGCATGAAGATTGCTTGAGGCTAGGAGTTCAAGGCTAGCATGGACAGCACAGTAAGACCCCATCTCTATAAAAATAAAAATAAAACAATTTAATGGGGCATGGTGGTGTATGCCTGTAGTCCTAGCTACTCGGGAGGCTGAGGTGGGAGAATTACTTGAGCCCAGGAGTTTGAGGCTATAATGAGCTATAATTGTGCCACTGCACTGTACTCCTGCCTGGGTGACTTACAAGACTCTGTTTCAAAAAAAAAAAAAAAGAAGAAGAAGAAGAACTGGTATAATTAATTATAATTACATGACAAGTCTTACAATTAATAATTAATATAATTAATGATAATTCCTGAAGTTCTTTGAGTATACTAGTTTCTAAAAATTAAGAGAGTGGTGACCCTAATAACTAGGAAACAAATTCTTTTGTAGGTTTCCATTTACTGACTTGCATTAAAATTGAAGGAGGAACTCCATTTCAGAATGATGGATCCCGGTCATGTCATTGATGGCTGCTAAAACCATTAAATGAAAAGCTAATGACACTGAACCCACTGCACACACTACCTATGAAGGATTCTTGCCAAGGTATAAAATCTGAATCTGGCCAAGCCTTGAGATCTAGAGATCAATTTCCAGGAAATTCAGGGGCCAGAAGAGCATGTTAAACAGTAAGCCAAGGAGATGCAAAGAGACTTAAGAGAAATGTCAGCCAAATGCAATTTTTGGGTCTTGTTAGGATCTTGAGTTAAAAAAAAAGCAACCCTAAAAAAAAAAGAAAATAAAAGAAAGAGAAGAAAAACCAACCCTAAAATCTAAACCAAATCCAAACAAAAATGTGAGGCGATTATATTGAATGACTTGTATTTTTTAGGTTTACTGGTTTATAGTTATGTTTTCAAAACATTCTTATTTTTGAGATATATATATATATGTATTTACCGATGAAGTAAAGGTGTGTAACCTGGGATTTGCTTCAAATCCCAGCAAATGCAGTGCTGAAGTGGTGTGGGGTGGAGAGCAGATGGGAAGGGTAGAGATGAAAGAAGATTGGGCACAGGTTAATGATAACATTGTTGATGCTGGTGATAGGCACACAGGGATTATTTTCATTCTTCTATATTTGCGTCATCTTGAATTTGTCAATATAAAAATTAAATAATAAATAAAAAACAAACCTAAACATCAAATTTATGCATTGAAAGAATACCTAATCTAGCCATGAACTGATCACTAAAGATAAATGTTTTAGGAGGGTTATGATGGCTCAGGCCTGTAATCCCAGTGTTTGGGCAGGTGTAATCCCAACTCCTTAGGCTAGGAGTTGGAGACCAGCCTGGGTGAGACCCCTATTTCTGAAAAAACAAAAAACGAAACAAAACAACAAAAACCTTTTTAAGTTAGCCGGGTGTGGTGGTATGTGCCTATAGTCCCAGCTACTTGAGAAGCTGAGATGAGAGGATCACTTAAGCCCAGGAATTCGAGGTTACAGTGAGCGAGGATTGCATCACTGCACTCCAGCCTGGGTGACAGGAGAGACCCTGTCTCAAAACAAGAGATAATTTGTTTTTTATAATTAACAACTGTGTGATTTGGGGCATAAAACTCAAAAGGATTGAGTGACTGACACTGATATCTCAAAACTCCATTTCCATCTTCTTGTATGTGTAAACAGTGCTTATAGTTCTAGAAACAAAATTTAAAAATAGAGTTTATGGGCCAGGTGCAGTGGCTCACACCTGTAATCCCAGTGCTTTGGGAGGCCGAGGCGGGCAGATCACAAGGTCAAGAGATTGAGACCATCCTGGCCAACATCTACGACATCTAGTAGAAATCCCATCTCTACTAAAAATACAAAACTTAACTGGGTGTGGTGGCGCGCGTCTGTAGTCCCAGCTACTCAGAAGGCTGAGGCAGGAGAATTGCTTGAATCCAGGAGGTGGAGGTTGCAGTGAGCGGAGATCGCACTACTTCACTCCAGCCTGGCGACAGGGTGAGACTCTGTCTCAAAAAAAAAAAAAAAGTTTATGCTGAACTCTCATTCTAACATAATATTTATCCACAAATGTGTGAACAAACAGAAAAAAAGCCCCACTTAACCTATTAGAATATCTGTATTTTAAACAATTTTTTTGTGTTTAATATTTATGCTACTTATCAAAACTTGTAATATTTATGTTGTTTTGGTTAGTTATATACTAATACCAATGATAATAACCAATCCAGAATAAGTTTCCACTATTTAAAGACTTTGGTGTCAGTACAGTTTTCAAAAGTTTCTAATTTGAATTAAATACATATTTTATATATGATAAGATAATTGGGAGAAGACTTTCAAACCTAAAAAAATTATACAAGGGTGAACGTTTGTGGAGAGGTGTAACGGAAACATAATTCCAAGGAGGAAAAGGAAGGATATCAAATGACAGTTAAAGAAGGGGTTGTTCATATGTTTTTAAAAATAGGTGATCAAGTCTGAAGTTAATAGTGCATTAAGACTATATGGCTGTATTTAAATGAATGATGCAACAGTTTTATTTTAAATTACATCATTTGCAATGATTTACACTTATATTTGAAAATGTTAACTATTAGCTAAAACATATGGGGGTCTGGGTTTATTTTATGGATTTTTTAAATTGAGTAAAATTCACATAACATAAAATTAACCATTAACCATTTCAAGGATTACAATTCAGTGACATTTAGTACATTCACAATGTTGTGCAGCCACAACCTCTATTTATTTTGGAGACATCTTTATTACCTCAAAAGGAAACTCTGTACCCAGGAAGCAGTCACTCTCCGTTCTGTCACCCCACACCTCCTGCCATGGCTTGTTTTCTGTCTTGAAAGAGATTTGTTTGTTCTGAATGTTTTGTAAGTGAAATCATGCAGCATGTGGCCCTTTCTGTCTGTCTTCTTTCGCTTAGCATAACATTTTCAAGGTTCGTTGCGTTGTAGCATGTTTCAGTATTTCATTCCTCTTTATGGCTGAATAATATTCAATTGTATGAGAATACACCACGTTGTATTTATTTGTCAATTGATGGGGATTTGGGCTGTTTCCATCTTTTCGCTATTGAGTCTGGTGCTGCTGCAACACACATTCCTCTACAAGGCATTTGTTTGAATACCTCTTTTCAGTTCTTTTGGGTACACAGTATTCCCCCTTTCTTCTATTTCAGTTATTCTTGGCCATCCATGGCCCGAAAATATTAAACGGAAAATTCTAGAAGTAAACAATTCATAGGTGTTCAGTTGCATGTCATTCTGTTCAATTGCCTGTTCAGTTGCATGTAATATGATGCAGCCTCTCCCTGTCCCACCCTGTCCTGCCTGGGTCATGAGTCACACCTTTGTTCAGGGTATCCACACTGTTGATGCTATCTACCTGTCAGTCATTTGGTAGCTGTTTCAGATATCAGATGGACTGTCATCACATTGCAGAGCTTGTGTTCAAGTAACCCTTATTTAATGACCCCAAAATGCAAGAGTAGTGATGCTGGCAGGTTATTATGATGGTTCTATTTTATCATTGTTGTTGTTAATCTCTTACTGTGCCTAATTTATAAATAAAACCTTATCTTAGGTATGTATGTATAGAAAAAAACTTGGTGTACATAGGATTTGGTACTGTGCATGATTTCAGGTATTCACTCTGGATCTTGGAACCTATCCCCTGAGGATAAGGGGGGACTACTGTACACCTAGCAGTGGAATTGCTGGTGATTTTATGCCGAAGTTTTTGAGGAACCACCAAACTTTCCCACAGTGACTGCACTATTTCACATTTCCACCAGCTGTGCTCAAGGGTTTTAATTTCTCCACATTCTCCACAATGTTATTTTCCATTTTAGTTATGGCTAACCTAGTGGGTGTCAAGTAGTATCGCATTTTTTTTTTTTTTTGAGACAGTCTTACTCTGTTGCCCAGGCTGGAGTGTCATGGTGTAATCTCTGCTCACTGCAACCTCCAGCTCCCTGGTTCAAGTGATTCTACTGCCTCAACTTCCCGAGTAGCTGGGATTACAGGTATCTGCCACCATGCCCAGCTATTTTTTTTTTTTTTTAATATTTTTAGTGGAGACGGGGTTTCATCATGTTGGCCAGACTGGTCTCGAACTCCTGACCACAGGTCATCTACCCGCCTCGGCCTCCCAAAGTGCTGGGATTACAGGCATGAACTGCTGTACCCGGCCTCATTTTGGTTATGATTTGTGTGTCCCTAATGACTAATGACATTGAGCATCTTTTCATGTGCTTGTTGGCCATGACTGTCTAATTTTTTCATGAAACTGTTTTAATAGGTATGCAAACAAAAAGAGGTTGGCTGTAAGCCTAAGCCACTGTGACGATCTTGTCCAAAGTACCCCACTGTTCTCCAGTGGATCATGCTATGACCCCAAGGCTTCAGGTGAGTTTGTCTGAGGAACACGTCTCTCTTCTACAAGTGCAGAGCTAAAAAAACGTTTAAAAACAGTTTCCTTTTTAGTAGGTGTTATGAACAAAATCATCATTCTCTCCTATCTGCTAAATTAGTCCTCCTTTGTTTTGAAGACATTTTTATAAATGCCAAGATTTCAAGCCGCTATGATAAAATTTGGTTTTTCTTTTTATTTTTTTATATAAAAAGATTTATTGAAATTTATCAATGACAGACATAAAACTCAAAGTTTGGCTCTTCTGAGGGGCAGGAGAAAAACTGGTGCAGATGTTCTTTTATACAGATGAAACATGGGTTCAGAAATTACACGTCCCTTCTAAAGCAACCAGAAGAGGGACACAAAAGCAAACCTGTATATTCACTATGAATTTGCAGTCATTTCAGATTTCCACTAGGTAAGAAAATACAAATTTGCATTAGTTTTTCCGTGCTCGGGTGTATGAAAAAAAAAATCCAGCCGACATGCCACAATGTCTCCAGCACTTAGGTTTTTTTAAATTTTCTTTTCTTTTCTTTTTTTTTTTTTGAGACGGAGTTTCGCTCTTGTTATCCAGGCTAGAGTGCAATGGTGCAATCTCGGCTCACCGCAACCTCCGCCTCCTGGGTTCAGGCAATTCTCCTGCCTCAGCCTCCTGAGTAACTGGGATTACAGGCACGTGCCACCATGCCCAGTTAATTTTTTGTATTTTTAGTAGAGATAGGGTTTCACCATGTTGACCAGGATGGTCTCAATCTCTTGACCTCGTGATCCACCTGCCTTGGCCTCTCAAAGTGCTGGGATTATAGGCATGAGCCACCGCGCCCGGCCGAGGTCTGTAAAGATTTTCTAAGCACAGAAGTACATGTGGAAGAATTCTCTCATCATTTTTGTAAAACAAAGCGTTCTAATATTTTACAGAACAAGATAGGACAGTTTTTTTTTTTTCTTTTAAAGAAGTTGAAGTTTGAGGGTTTGTTTCTTCTCTTTTAATTATTACCAAATAAATCCATTTTCCTTGTAACTCACAAGCCTGCAGTTTTCAGCTCTCTGGCTCATAAGCTCTCAAGAGTCACATCAGAGTCCTCTTTGTAGAGCGAAGCCCACCACCATCTGTGAAGGGGAAAAGGGGTGAGAGATGGGGAATGTCCCCGAACCAGTGCCAAAATATGCCTTTAGGTTGCTATTTACAAACCAGGGCGTTGGATGCCTCTAGCAGGCCCGAGAAAAGCAGGTATCATATGAACCAAAGCAAAAGATTATGGCTGGGGCTCAGCCCCTCCTCGGCGTTGAGTAACCTGAGACCAGCCATGGCCTTCCATTCAACCCAAGAGACTTGGGAAATACCAGGAGACGTAAGAGAACTCCAAACCATCCTCTTTGAGAGTCAGGAACAAATGCTCACTTAGTGTGTACTTAGCTATCGCATTTACAGGGACAAAACCCGGACACAAAGAAAAAGTAGGGGGAAAAAATAAAAGAGTGGCAGTAAAAATAGTATTTTATTCCACCCCCTCCTGCCCTCCCTCCCCGACAACCCCCAATACACTCTTCCTCTCTCTTTCCCACAGCAACGTTACAATCAGAAAAAAATAAGTTTCAGGGGGCAGGATTGGAGCGGGGGAGGGGATATGGGTAAAAACAGTCAAATCACAATAGGAATTTTTCAAAATAGGTTATTCCACTTAGTCGTCATCTTCTCCCTCATCTTCGGGTTCTCGTTTTCGCTTCTGACCCCTTTCTTCTTCACCAAGCTGTTCTTCATCTTCCTCGTCATCTACCTTTCCGTCATTATAACCTTCTTCATTCTCCTCCTCCTCTCCACTCACGTCCTCCCCTTCACCTTCCTCTTCCTCATCCTGGTCCTCCTCGTCTTCCACTACCTGAGCATCTTCATCACATTCCTCCTCATCCTCATCTTCCTCCTCATCATCCAGGCCTTCCACGTAGCCCTCAGCATCGGAGTCAGGGGCCTCCTTGTCGTCCGGGTCATAGCCGTGGAGATAACGTGAATTGCGGGAGGAGCTTGAACACGTTTTCTCGGTAGTCGTTCAGGTTGGTTACCTCGCAATTGAAAAGGTCTAAGCTCTTGAGGTTTTCTAACTTTTTCAGTGGTTCTATTTTGCTGAGGTCTTTAATTTTGTTGCCACTTAAATTTAGATGCGAGAGGTTCGGACACTTTTCTGCCAATACTTCCAGTCCCCCTGAGACTGGAAGCTTAGTTCAAGCTTCTTAAGTTTGTTTAACTTTGGTAAGTTTGCGATTGAGGTGAGGCCTACGTTGATTGTACTTAAGAATTCCAGTTCTTCAGATTCATCTGTGAGGCCTTCGAGTTTGCCTTCATTCGACCGACTGTTGTCCAGGACAAGTTCTTTCACATCAGAGGGCGTCCTGTTCCACAGCTCTAAATGAATCCGTCTGCCCATCTCCATCTCTCGCGCTCTCTCTCTGCAGAGGCTCCCGCGCCGGCGGATTTCAATCAATAAACCCCGAACCCACGGCCGCGCGTTTTAGGACTTGGGAGGCTCAACCAGCTCTGCTCAGTTCTCGATCCCCCTGGTTTTTCTTTTTAAATTTCTATTTTAGGTTCATGGGTACACGCTCAGGTTTGTTAGATAGGTTAATTGTGTGTCACAGGGGGTTGGTGTACAGATAATTTCGTCGCCCAGGTGATAAGCAGAGTACCCTATAGGTGGTTTTTCTATCCTCACACTCCTTCCACCCTCCACCCTCAAGTAGGTTCCGGTGTCTGTCATTCCCTTTTTTATGTACTTGTGTACTCAATGTTGAGTCCCCACTTTATAAGTGAGAACCTGTGGTATTTGGTTTTCTTTCCCTGTGTTTATTTGCTTAGGATAAGGGCCTGTAGCTCTACCCATGTTGCTGCAAAAGACATGATCTCATTCTTTTTTTATGGCTGTGTAATATTCCATGGTATATATGAACCACATTTTCTTTATCCTGTATGATGAAATTTGAATGCCGAAGTAAGTCCCTTGCACAGAGTGAATGTTTCCCATGCTGGTTCATTGGTTTGTCATGACAAGCAGAAGGGACCTTCAGTGGTGATCCTTGCAGATATTCTTTAGTGGGAGTGCACTGGGAAAGACACTTCTCTGTCAGGCTGGAGGAAAGTGAGGGAACTAGGAAGCATGTAGGCAAATAGATTTCTGGCTGGGAAAAGAGCTGTGAAAGTAGGACTTTCCTACTCTTGTAAAGTCTCCAGACTCTAGGAAAGCAGGGAACGTCATGAGTGGCAATCTCCCTAGATGCACTGCTACATCGTTGGACAGATCCTACTTCTAAATCCCTATGTGTTCCCTGACACAGAACCTGGTGCATAGTAGGTACATCAAGGTGTCTGCTAAATCAGGTTGGTCACTGTTGATCTCTGTCCCATGATAACTCTGTCAAACCCCCCTTGTCTCCTTGATGGGAATTAAGAGGTAGACATCCTGGGTGCTGCTTCTGCTCCGCCTTCATCTCTGTCCATCTCAGTCTGACATCCTCCATGGTTCCCCATGACCTCCTACCAGTGTGTCCCTTGGATCACTAGTTTTAGTGCTAAGTATACTTTTGATCGTTATTTCTAGAAATTCTCTCCTTCCTTGTCATTTCTATTATGTTTGTGCTACCTATAGGCATGGCTGTGTTTGACATCCTAGAATCACGCCCAGTCCTCTGTGGTAAAGAATTGGTGAGACTGTGGCATTTTTTTTGCAGATAGATCCTTACCCTAGATGTTTTGTAGATTTATCTGGGGTTATTCATTGCCTCTAAGGTTCCTGTGCAGAGGGTATAAACCTGCTTGATAGTATTTTGAGAGCCAGGTGGGAGAATGGGGCTGGGGCAGTGGCAAGGCCTTGTGATGTCTGTGTGTTCAGCATGCACTGTTAATCATGTCCTTGTGTTAAATCCACTGCCTCTATCTGGCCCTCCACTTGTGTTTTCCCCAGAGAATAAAGCTCCTGTGTTACACAGTTTTGGGAGGAGAGGTCTCTGGGCTTTGCAGGCGGGAGTGGGATTGGCCAGTCCTATTGCTCCTTATACATTTGTCACATGGCTTGCCTCTGCCTTGTGGAGTCCCTGATGCCCGATCCCTCCGCCGTTCCACTGGGTGAATCAGATTGCTTCCTGGTACCACCCATTGTCCTGATTACACTCCTCCCAGTTCCATTCCCAGGCAAGGCTTTTTCTGGTTACTGCGTCTCCATCCTTTTCCATCTTCACAAACTGTGAAGACGAACATCTCTCATCTGCTTTTGTCTCCTTTCTCACTCTCTTGTCCTTGTGAATCTGCATCCTTTTTGTCCTTTAAGCATCATGTTATGGGACTCAGGAAATGCCTGTGTTCATTCCACTCACATGGAGCTAGTGGTATATTTTCATGTAGCCAAAGTATTTAAATATTTCACGTGGCCTGGACTGGGCCAGGTGTGGTGGCTCATGCCTGTAATCCCAGCACTTCGGGAGGATCATTTAAGGCCAGGAGTTTGAGACCAGCATGGGCAACATGATGAAACCCTGGCTATACAAAAAAATTTAAAAATTAGCCAGGCATGGTGGCATGCATGTGTAGTCCTAGCCACTCACAAGGCGGAGGCAGGGGGACTGCTTTCGACAAGCAGGCCAAGGCTGCAGTGAGTGATGATGGTGCCATTGCACTCTCCAGCCTGGTCAAGAGAGTGAGACACTGTCTCTGAATATATGTATATATATATATATGGTTGGGTGTGGAGGCTCATGCCTGTAATCCCAGAACTTTGGGAGGCCGAGCTGGGAGGATCATGAGGTCAAGAGATTTCACCATGTTACACCATCCTGGCCAACATGGTGAAATCCTGTCTCTATTAAAAATATAAAAATTAGCTGGGTATGGTGGTGTGTGCCTGTAGTCCCAGCTACTTGGGAGGCTGAGGTAGGAGAATCACTTTGTGTGTGTGTGTGTGTGTGTGTGTGTGTATGTGTGTGTGTGTGGGGGGGTGCTGGTTTGAAATCTAGGCATTCTGGTGAATGTAGAATTTACTTTAAGGGCCACGGAGCCTGGGAGCATCATTTGCATTGCATTCTATGTGACTGCTTCCCCTAATTTCACAGGTGGCAGAAGTTGTTATTCTGTGAAACATCAGGGAGTGTTCATTTGTGAAGGAGTTGCTCCTCCCACATGTAATTTTGAATGACCTGTACCCCAGGACGTGTGTGTTTGACTGTGGTTAATGATCCTCCTGAGCTATGCCAGGGAGGATCATTACTCACAAGGTGGATAATAACAGCAAGACTTCTATTTGTGGAGATGCCCCTTCTAGCATGCTGTGGGAAACCCAGGCTTTCTCACAGAAGCAACTAGCTCTTCCTCCTTCCAACCACCCTCACCTCCCAAACAAACAACTCCCAAATCAAATAAGAAGAGATGGAAATTTTCAGTTCGAGCTCAATGGCATGGGGTTGAGAGTAATTTAGCCACATAATTGAATATTCTCCAGGAACAGGTCTCTAGCAGTGGTTCTCAAACTTCACTGCATAGTATAATCACCTGGGGAGGTTTTAAAAATCCAATGCCAGGCTGATTGCATATGGAGAGTTGCCTCTTTGGACAGAGTTTCTCCACCTTGGCACTATAGACATTTGGAATGAGATAACTCTTTGCTATAGGAGCTGTTCCATGCATTGTGGATTGTTTAAAGGCATCTTGGGCTCTACCCACTAGATGCCAGTAGCACACTGACCTATTTGTACTGACCAAAAGACATATCCATGTATTTCTAGTAGTGGGGCAAATCACCTAATCAAGAATCGCTGATTTGGGGGTGGGTCTTAGGCACTATGTTTTTTTTTTTTTAAACTTCCTAGGTAATCCCAATGTGCAGCCAAGATTCTCAAACTTGGATTTTTCCCTTGGGAAGTGTACCCTGGTGGTAAGTCCCAGGAATTTTGGAGTACACTTTTATAAACTGTGATATAATATCTACTCAGTAAGAATGAATATATTCTGAGCCAGATGAGTGGACCCACTCATCCTACCTTGTATATATCTGTTTCTTTCCATCAAGGGGAGTCTGGAAAACAAACAGTATATGAACAATTTGAGACCCAGCAAAGCCAGACAAGCTTGTAGCATACAGAAAACCTTTACAGTGAACATGGTATGCAAACTAATGAAAGGTCTAATCAACACTATAAAACCACAGGGTGTACATTATTGGTGCCAACATAAGATCTATCATTGACTGGAGATCCTCTGTGAATCAAGGTCTTGTGCTAGAGGATGTATTTACATGCCATCAAATATGAAAGCATCTAAGTTAATAATAGTAGAATAATAAATAGGGCTGATGTAACGATCATGCATGTCAATAATTCTGAAACATGCTTTAACCTTAACTGTTGTATGTAAGCACTTACGTAATTGGAGTGCTTTTCAGTCTCACTGTGACAGGAATTGTGGACGGGCTCATGCAACCTCCTTTCCATCTTCTTCCTACTATGGAAGCAAGAAAGTAAAAAACTTGCCTTCCAGATGCCTGTCAAGAGCAGCTATGTGACATAATTTTGGCCATTAAGAATGTAAGCTCTATGTGGACAAGGGTTTTCTGTTTGTTTGCTTTTCTATTTTGTTCTCTGGTCAAAACTCATTACATTGTACACTCTAAACATCTCTGGTCTATTGTACATTACTTTTAAACCCAATAATGTACAAAATTAAAGAGCGATTGTTAAGAAAATCCAAAGGCAAATTACAAGTTGGAAGGAAATGTTTCTTGGCCCTGAAGGAAGTTGAGGCAAGGATTCTGAGGCACTGAGACCCTGTGCTTAAATTTCAGGTAAATTGCAGAGCTACCTGAAATTTATCCAGCTGACACTAGATGTCACCATTTGCTATGTAAATGTAGCTGCTTCTCAGAGTGCTACTTGATAGTCAGGACAGAGTCAGGCCCTTTAGATGGTTGAAGATTGTTAATTTTTCTTCTCTCTTGATGCCAGAATATGGTCTGGTTCAAAAATGACGATACTAATAATGATGGAAGGGAGCAGAGATCACCTGGTGGCTATCAGACCGTCCAGCGGCAAAACTTTTTGTCTGAGGAATTTGGAAGTAATTAGATTTCCCTATTATTGAAAGTTGGCATCTGGTACCAGACTGCTTTCCCCCAAATTTATAAGTAACTAGAATTTGTATACATCTCCAGAATACATGCACGTCGAAACTCATTGTGCAACCCTTGCTGACATCCAGGCACCAAAACGTCTACAAATGTGATCATTTTTCATGACCTACGTTGCTAGTGTGGTCCAAATTACCCTTAAACCCCCACTTTAAGGTTCATTAGTACCCCTAAGGCAAACCCACCAGCACGCTCAGTTGTCTCTTGCTGAAGTGCCCCACTGCACTCTTCTGCTGTGTTCTTTCTATAACAGAACTTTCTTTTTACAAACTTGTACTGTAAATTATTTTTTTACCACCTGCAAGCCAACCACTTTCCATTGCCTGGGCTCTGATATTCACCTGACAGGGATCATAGAAGTTTTTCCAAGGAGCAACACGTAAGATAA